AAGCAATGTAGAAATTAGAAAAAACTTGGAGAAAAGTTAGGCTGGAAGTGAAGACAGTAGAGTTTTCCTCAAGGTGAAAGACAGAAGAACTAAAATAGGATAGAGATAGTAAGAAGAAAAAAGGGGGAGGGCCAGGTGTGGTGGCTCACGCCTGTAATTCCAGCACTCGGGAGGCTGAGGCAGGAGGATCACTATGAGTTCGAGACCAGCCTGGACTGCATAGTGAGTTCCAGGTCAGTCTCAACTACATAGTGAGATCCTGTCTCAAAACCCCCCCCAAAAAAAAATAAAAGAAAAAAGGGGGAGGTAGGTTTGATGCTTTCATAAGAAACAGAACTGGGCCAAGGATTTAGCTCAGTGGTGCCAATGCCTGCCACACAAGTGAAAGGTTCTGAGTTTGATCCCTGGTACCAAAAAAAAAAGAAATGGAACTCAGTAGACTTAGTGAAGGGTTAGAATTGAAGAGGAAGAAGGAGAGAGTGAAGGGTAGTGACCTAGGTTTCTGACTCATGGTGACAAGAAAGGTGTCATAGGCATGGTGACAATGCCTATAACGACAGCATGAGATTGAGGCAGGAAGACTGAGAGGCTGGCTGTACAATGAGAAGGGGGGGATCCTCTTAGGTCTATCAGAGAATTGCAGGCACAGGGCAAACTACTGTCCCCTAACCTAGAGAGACAAGCAGGCAGATAGAGAATCACAACTTTTTGGCAGAAACTCAGGAGCAGAAACCTCTGTAAAAGCCAGGCAGGAAAACAAACTGTAATTGACAATATTGCAGAACCTCAGGGTGAACAAATTTGCAAGTTAAAAACTCCAGGAGATTTCATTCTTAAGGGGGGGTCTCCAGAATTTCATTTCCACAAATTTTACCAAGTTCTCATAGCGAAACTACAGAAAAGTCCCCTTGGCTTCTGGCAGGTGGAGAAGTGGCCATTCTGAGATACATTGGGAGCATTCCATACCACCACCACCACCACCAGAACCTCCCCCGCAAGGATTGAACTTGAGACCTTGTGCTTGCAAGGCAGGCGGCAGCACCACTGAGCTAAATTCTCGGCCATGAGCATTCCATTCTTAAGGGCTGCCCAGAAACTACTCTTCCCAGTTCATTGAGACAGTCTAAAAGGGTACAATCATATATGCCTATAATCCCAGCACTGGGAAGGCTGAGGCAGGAGGGTTCAAGGCCAGGAGAGAGAGGGGAGAGGAGAGAGGAGAGAGGGAATATGAATTTGAAAAGACACAGCAAGCACCAGAACCAAAATTATTTAGAGATATTGAAATTATCAGGCTAGGAATTTCAAACTATGATTCACCCCTGAAACCCCAGAACTCTGGGAAGATAAGGCAGGAGAATGGCAAATTATCCACTTAGTGAGATCCTGTCTCAAAAAACAAAAAGGGATAAACCAAGCATGGTGGTTCATGCCTGTACTGTAAGACCTGAATTACAAGCCCATGCTAAATGACAAAGGGCCTAGGAGCTAGTGCTATAACCCCCTCCCATTGTAGCCATAGCCCAGACCTTTGTTCAAACCCTGGCTTAGGAATGTAAGGCAATCTTGTACTGTTTTAAGTCCAGAGCCTGATTAACGTGAAGGTTAGTGGTTCTAGACTATGAGATACATAGAGACCCCAAGTTAATTGTCAAACTGTTTGCTCATCGGGAATGTCTTGGTGACCTTTGAAACATCCTATAGGTATCTGTTAATCATCAATGTGTGACTGCCGAGTACGTGACTGCTGACCACCAGCTCAAATCAGCAGACCTTTGTTCCCTGCCGGCAATCTTAGAATGTTAACCCCTCTTTTTACCCCGCTATAAAAAGGACCTCAGCCCCTGAGCTGGAGCCTCTCTGAGCCATCTACTTGGTTCTGAGAGTGCCGTCTGGCCAGACTAATAAAGGTCTGTTTACTATCTAGCCTGGTGTGTTCCTTCCTGGGTGACTCTCATTTCTCCACTGAGCTCCGTAGCCTTGCTGAGCTATAGGTCCCAGCATCATGGAGGCCCTTTTGGCTGTTCACGGCTTTCAGAAGTAAGGCCCTGGGTCTTGCTTCTGGAGCCATTGTTGGGCTATAAGACTCAGCATCGTGGAGGCCTTTCGGCTGTTCACACTCCATGGAGTTGAAGTGAGACTTTGAGTCTTACGGTACCACACAGGAGGCTGAGGCCAGAGGATCACTGTAAATCTGAGGCCAGCATGGGCTACATAGTGAGTTCAAGGCCAGCTTGAACTACTTGGTGAGATTCTATCTCTAAAAAAAAAAAAAAAAAAAAAGCAGAATGAGGAAACAAAAACAAAAAAGCAGGCAGGAAGACGGCGAGGGAGGTGTCTAGAAATGTAGGTCAATGCTAGGACCTAAATTCAGTATCCAGTACTACAATACATTAATAAATAATCATATGATCATTATGCTATGGGCTCTAAAGGAAAATGTGGACAATATGCTAGAACAGGTGACTAACGTAAACAGAGAATTGAAAATTCTAAGAAAGAACTAAAGAAAATGAAAATAGAAATAAAAAACACTGAAACAATCAAGGCTGCCTGATGGTCTCCAGGCATCAAAAGACTGGACAAGGCTGAGGAGAGAATCAATGAGCTTAAAGAAACATCAATAGAAATTTCCAAGGGGCCGGGGATTTAGCTCAGCGGTTCAGTGGCCTGCCTTGCAAGCGCAAGGACCCAAGTTCAATCCCCAGTACCAAAAAACCAAAAACAAAAAAACCCGAGAAATTTTCAAAACTGAAATACAAAGAACAGAATATTCACGAACTGCAGAACGTACAAAAGGTGTACCATACACGAGAATAGCAGAAGAAGAAATGTGTGAAGCAACAATGACTAAGAATTTCCTAAAACTGGCTGGATATGGTGGTGCATGCCTGGGGAAGCTGGGAAAGGAGGATTGCCTGAGTTTAAGGCCAACCTGAATTATGTATTGAGATCCTGTCACAAAAAAGAAAAGAAAAACAGAATTTTCCCAAACTAATGATGAATACCAAACACAGATCCAGGAAACTCAAATAGCAAACAAGACAGATACCAAACATACAAAAATACATCAGGACATGGCTTATCATATTCAAACTGCAGATAATCAAAGACAAATTTAAAAATTGCAAAGAAGCAAGGAGTAGGGTAGGAAACTTTTCAATAGAGGAGCAAAGAATTACATTAACATCCATTCAGAAAGCATTCAAAGAAGCGAGTGGGGTGGGGCCAGGGAATTAGCTCAGTGGTACTGAGTTCGATCTTCAGGACCAAAAAAAGTGGGGGGGAGTGGGGTGAAATACTGAGTTGAAGGGGGGAAAAACCCTTCAAATCTAGTATTCTGTATTCAGCAAAATTATCCCTCAAAAAAGAAGAAATAAACATTTTCTCAAACAAAATTTGAGGAAATCTGACTTCCCTTGCAAGACATGTTAGAAGGAACTCTTCAGAAAGAAACGAAACAATACAGGTCAGAAACGCAGATCTACACAAAGGAGGAAGAATGTTGAGGAATAAATGAAGGAATTATATAAGATAACCAGAATTTCACACATGTCCAACTTACAATTAGCAATAAATCATGCCTCAGATAAATCTCATTGGCTATGCTACTGCCACCATACCAAGCCATGTCCAATTTACAGTACTTTTGGACTAGAGGTCTCACCAGCAATTAACTGTGTGTATTGCCTCAGAGGATTGATCTGGAGTGGGGACAATGTGGGCCATTAGGTCTAGAAGTGGAAGAAATGGCCCAAAAGATTGCACAGTTTCATTAAATCTTCATAGTCAAGGCAAGTAACTAAATCAATCAACACAACACACACTATATGCTAAGTTTGGGGCTTGGTGATGGAATGAGTGGAAGACACTAGAAATAAAAGATTCCCAATTTACAGACACTAGAAAAGAAGATAGAACAGTAAGTTTAAGTGTTTGCTTTAGCTGTATGTAAAGCAGATATGTGAAAAAGGAAATTATTTTTAAATTAAATTAGTATATTTACTTGCAGTACTGAGTACTGAAACCCAGGGACTTTCCACCGAGGTACATCCCAGCCCTTTTGATTAATTTATTTTGAAAACCGGGTACAGTATCTGAAAGTGGCCCAGCTGAACTCTAACTTCCTATCCTCCTGCTTCAGCCACCTCAGTAGGGGAATCACAGATGTGTGCCAACACCCTGGCAAAATGTAATTTAAAATTAAATAAAACAGGAAAGAGAAAAGAAAAGCATAACAGAATTACCTATATACCACCATCTGGAGAAAAGGAGGCTAACACTGTGATGCTTTTCAATTTTTTTTTTTTTACAGTACTAAAGATTAATCTAAGAGTTCTAAATCTACATTCACCACTCCACCCCACTGAGCTTTTTTTCTATTTGGGGGCAACGTCTCTACTTGTCAGGCTAACTTCGACTTTGTGAAGATCCTGCCTTAGTCTTCGGGATCGCTGGAATTACCGGCATGCACACCATGCCCGGCCCCAAATTTTCTAATTTTTATTTTATTGCATTTACAAATGCCTTCACTCTTTCATGAGGCTGGGGATCAAGCCTAGGGCTTCTCTCCTGCTAGGCAAGCCCTGTACCACTGAGCTACACCCCAGCTGTTATTTTATTTTTCAAAGGCGAGCGCCCCCTTCTGTTTCGCGAAAAGAAACCTCGAATTCATACTGAAGAAGCCCGACTTGGGCAAGTCTTCAAGATGCTGCCTCCTGGCGGGTATTTAAGGAACCCTATTTCCACAGAGGAAGGTGATAGAGAAGGCAGGCAGCGTGACCCCCAATTTGCAGATTACGAGTTGAGTCTCCCGAGTTAAGTAACTATTCTTCAGGCCCCAGAAGGTAGAAGCTGCAAAGGTCAGCGAACAGACCGCCGAAAACCAGCCACCCGAATACACCAGCTGGACCGCAGGCGCGCAGAAACTCTTCTCACCAGCCAGGCTGCACTTTATGACGTCACGCCGCGTTTTCTCGCTCTGACCGCCCATTGGTTCATTCCTACCGACCTCTTCCAGGGCACCGGAAGACACTATCAGAACCGGAAGTAAGGTCTCCCGAATTCGCAACAGCGGCAGCGTTTAAAGTTCAGCGAACAGGTGACTTGGCCGACGACCTGTTTCCCCTTTCAGGGTCCACGACGAGCAAAGAGGAGACTCCATACCTCTGTTGGCCTATGGAAAGAACTGAGGCAGATCGGAAAGTATCCGGCGCGGAAAAAACGATGCAACACTCCCAGAGTTGCCGGACGCCCCGCCCCTAGGGAAGGATTTAGAAGGCTCTCCCTGGGAAGTCACCGAAGGGACCTCCCCGGGGCGTAGCCCGCTATCATGGCCACGCCTCAGAGGGCCGGTCCCGCCACTTGGCGAATGGTGGCTGCAGCCAGCTGGCAAGTGGTTCACCGACGCTGCGTGGAGCACTTCCCGCGAGTCCTGCAGTTTCTGAGTTCTCTGCGCGCTGCCGCCCCCGGCTTGGTTCTCTACCGGCACCATGAGCGCTTGTGTATGGGCCTACGGGCCAAGGTATTGGAGCGAGGAGGACCTGTGGAGGGCTACCAGGTTGCGGGGGGGGGAGGGGACTAGTTGGAAAGGGTCGCTTTCCCGAAACGGGCTTCTGAACTCGGTACCGTGCAGATGGTGGTGGAGATGATCGTGCAAGGCCGGCCTTGGACTCAGGTTCTGAGTGTCCTGAATCGCCACTTCCCAGAGTCTGGACCTGCACCGCCCGACCCGAAAGCTGTGAGTAATCCCGAACAAGCCCTAACCTCAGTTACATTTAGTGCAACAGAGTGGCCCCCTCTCCCGACCACCGCTGGATCCTGGTATCCCCAACTTTTCTGCCTTCCATGTCCTTCCTCAACAGACAAAGCGGGATCTGAGGAAGATTTTGGAGGCACGGGAAACCTTTTGCCAGCAGGTGAAGCAGCTGTCAGAAGCCCCTGTGGATTTGGCCTCAAAGCTGCAGGTGAGACTGGCTGGTTTGCAGGCTGTTAAGTGGCTCCTGTTTTTCTCCTCCTCTTCTGACCTGGTTCTCTTCTTTTCTGCTCAGCAGGAGCTTGAACAAGAGTATGGGGAACCCTTTCTGGCGGCCATGGAAAAGCTGTTTTTTGAATACTTGTGTCAGCTGGAGAAAGCACTGCCTACAGTAGAGGCGCAGCAGGTTTTGCTGGGGCAAAGCACAAGGGCAGAGTGCGGGGTGATTGTACCAAAAGCTGTGGTCTTCATACCTCTGCCTCCCCACAGCTTCAAGATGTGCTCAGTTGGATGCAGCCTGGAGTTTCTATCACCTCTTCTCTTGTCTTGAGCCAGTATGCTGCGGACATGGGGTGGCCGCTTCCAGGTACCAGGACCATCTGGAAACTGGCAATTTAGAGGGGTAGTGTGTAGCCTGACATCGACTGAGTCAGCCCCCTGGAAGTTACATGGGCCAGAGTAGCACCTGTTCTCCTTATAAGGAACCTCATTTTTTTCTTTCAGAGCTCTTTGTTTCTGACTCGGAGAACTTGACTGAGACCAGGGGACCAAATCCTCCTCAGCAATCAAGACCAGCTGTGCACAGTCCTCTGCCAGAAGCCAAGCCCAGCCCTCAGGGACCAGCCTCAAGGAAGCATCCCGACTCTTTAGCTGGCCTGTGCTTCAATCTGGCCCCTCTAGGCCGGCGAAAACTCCGGTCCCGATGGACATCTGCAAGGGGCAGCTATAAAGAGCGCCCCATGGTCATGCTGTTGCCCTTTAGGAATCTGGACCCACCAAGTCAAGGCATAACTAAACCTGAGAGCGGGGAAGAGCTTGGGATACACACAGCGGACACAGCAGGTGTGGGCACAAGAGCAGCCTTCACTGGCAAGTCAAAGAGTCCTTCTCAGGTCCTGGGGGAGAGGGCTCTGAAGGAGAACCCACCTGCCTCGTCTGCCTCAGAGCCAAAAGAGTGAGTAGAAGGGTTGCTTCTCCCTGCTAGGAGCACAGTCTTTGTCTTCTTTCCCTACACCCTTTGCTTGCTTTGCTTCCCTCTCAGGAATTGCTGGGATTGCTACGTGGACCCCCTAAGACTATCATTATCACCTCCCAAGGCCAAGAAGCCAGGTAGGTGGGCTGAGTAGGGACTGCATCAGACAGCCTCTTTCCATGGAAACTTTCCAGGCCTATGTTCACCTCGAAAGAGAAATTTGACTCTGGTTTCCTTCCTGCAGCATGTTCTCCATTTCTGACCACTTCAGTCATTACCATAGGGGACTTGGTTTTGGACTCCGAAGAGGAGGAAAATAGCCAGAGGGAAGGAAAGGTAAGTAGCAAGGAGCCCAAAGCTGGGGAGAAGGATGAGTAGAACAAGACTGAGAATGAACAGCCCACAGGCTCCAGAGTAAGAATGACTCTGGAAATCATTTCCCATGATGGAAACACACCACCAGCAGCCCCTGCTCCCTTCTCTACAGGAGTCTCTGGGAAACTATCAGAAGACAAAGTATGACACCCTTATCCCCACCTTCTGTGAATACCTCCCCACCTATGGCCCCAGTGCCATGTCTGCTCCTTCTCGTGACTGCACGGACGACTCTAGACCCCTGTGAAAGCACTGGGATGCCCTCTGCCCTCTGCCCACCTGTTTTCTCAGCTGTGCAGGCAGCTTTTCTCAGCAACCCAAGTGGAAGCTCAGCCTTGGGTTGCCTGAATACAATGATAAAAGCAGTGTAATGCTTGACAATTAAATTTTGTATTTGTCACAACAGTGTCTTGATGTGGGGAAGGGAAATTAAAGCTTCCATGGGACAGGAGAGGTCATTCCTTAGAACTGACCTTGTTAGAGCTGGAGGAGCCCCTTTGCCTTTTTCCTTCCTTGGAAAGTGTTAATCACAGGTGCCGAGAAGGGTTACTGTGGTGGTCCTGAGGAGTCACTTCTGACCTGACTACCCACCCTGGAGCAGCACCCAGATCGGCAACCAGCATCTCTTTATACTCCAGGAGCTCTCTATTGAGCTTTTTATTGAGGTATTTTAATTATGTGAACATTTCAGTTGGAGACACCTGAGGATGTAATTTAATGAGGCTAATTAACAGAACAGTTGTAGTTGTGTGCCACCACACCCAACTAATTAAGATTGTTACTTTTAGGGCAAACTTTAAAATCTTTTACCGGGTCTTTTTTAGGTCAACAATCTTGATAAGAATCAAATGATAGTTTTAGGTCTCTTACAAACTTAGGAAACTGTTAATGACCACAGATAGGCTTATGCCAATGTAGAAGTATATCTCTTCCATACAACAGAATGCTTATTTAGTTACATCTGGTAGATGTAGATCACATTTTAATTTGCAGGATTAAATTGTATAAAATATAAAGAGCAGAGATGTCAGGAAGTTTTGGTTATTTTTTGTGTTTAAAGTCTTATATATTATATAAAAGAGATCACTTATTGCTTATGTGTCAAACCCATGTATTTTTAGTGTTATAAACTTTGTACATTTACACAGCACAACCCAGCATAGGCATAGTTATGTTTGTTTTTTATATTAGGCAAAAGACAGAGCATTTAGTATCATTAAAAGAGGGCCGAGGATTTAGCTCAGTGGTTTGGTGGCCTGCCTTGCAAGTGCAAAGACCTGAGTTCAATCCCCGGTACCAAAAAAAAAGAGGATAAGATGGGCGGGGGATTTAGCTCAGTGGCTCTGCCCCACATGCTTTGCAAGTGCAAGGTACCAAGAGTTCGATCCCCCATACCAAAAGCAAACAAAAAAGATGATAAATTTAAGTCAAAGTCTATAGAACGACTGTTAAGCTGTGTTTATGAGCAGTGGCTGTAACTCCATTTCAACATTTATTTTTATTAAGACCTTCATATGAGCTGCCTGGCATGGTGGTCAGGGCTGCCTGGCATGGTGGTGCGGGCCTGTAATCCCAGTACTCCACAGGCTGAAGAGGATCTCTGGATCACTGCAGGTTTGAGAGCAGCCAAGGCTACACAGTAACTTCAAGACCAGCCTGAACTACGTAGTGAGACCCAGTCTTTTTTTTGGGTGGGGGGGGTACCGGGTTTGAACTCGGGTCCTTGTGCTTGCAAGGCAGGCCACCGAACCACTGAGCTAAATCCCCGGCTCTGTTTATATATATTTTTAAACCACGAGAATATTTACTTTGCAAGTGACTAATTGTTTTGCTACAATTTCCCCACATTTTTAGACAATAATATCCTTTTTCCCCCAGGATTTTTTTTTTTTTTTTGGTACCAGATATCAAACTCAGGACCTTACACTTGCAAGGCAGGCCACCGAACCACTGAGCTAAATCCCCGGCTCTGTTTATATATATTTTTAAACCACGAGAATATTTACTTTGCAAGTGACTAATTGTTTTGCTACAATTTCCCCACATTTTTAGACAATAATATCCTTTTTCCCCCAGGATTTTTTTTTTTTTTTTGGTACCAGATATCAAACTCAGGACCTTACACTTGCAAGGCAGGTGCAATGCCACTAAGCTAAATCCCTGGCCCTCCCCTAGGATTTTTTTTTTTAATGTATTGAATTCCCCTAATTTTGGCGGGTGGAAACCCTAGGCAAAACTAAAGCAGCTACTCAGGAAGAAGAAAACAGGCCAGGTGGTTCAGGCATCTGCCTTTTCAGCCATGGTGGAAGCTTTGTGCAGCAGTCCCCCTTTGTCCAGTTGTTGTAAGCACAGATTAACAGACAAATAGATGAGAGATATAAGATGATAAATCAGTGAATCAGTGTTCTTTAGATGTCCTGGCCAAGTTGGATTTTGTTTTTTGTTTTTTTTTTTTTGTGGTACCGGGGATCTAACAACTCGGGACCTTGCACTTGCGAGGCAGGTGGCAGAACCACTGAGCTAAATCCTTGGCTAAGTTGAAATACAATAAGCCATTTTCCCTCAGTTTTAGGTTTATAACTATAAAGTTAGAATTCTCCCTAGGGAATACCAGTTAGCACTTTTGGTTTTTTAGGGGAATCATAACAGATCTTTTGTAATACTTTTGTTATTTTAACAATAGCGAGGGGAAGGTGTCAGTATGGAGGAAGAGAGAGAGTGGGGTTCTCTAGTGGAGAAGTCGAGGCTGAATTTGGGACTGACAGTGGCCAAAAGAAAGGTCAAGGTCATCATTGTCAGCACCTGGTGTTGAGAAAAGTGACCTGTGGGAGGGTTTAGAAAGGCAGAGGTGGGAGCCTGCGATGAGGCCACGAAGGCTGGAATGTGAAGGACCTTCGAGTCTTTGCCCTGACTGTGACAGAATATGTCCGATTGCAATATAGTGTTTAATTTAGAGTTCCACTGAGGGGCCAACACTCCTGATCCTGGAGTTTATATCGAGACCAGGGAGTATTGGATAGGAAAATGAGACATTTCTTCTTTGGAGTTTGAGGATCAAATCTAGATCAGTTCTTAATACAGCCCAGGGCTTTCAGTCAGAACCACCATCTCCTAGTAATATGCCGCAGTGACAAAGGGAAAGGGAAGAGGAATCTGATATATAGTCTCTAGACCTCTTAGAAAACACGGGGTTGTTCTTTTAGCGGCAAGTATGCCCACCTACAGAAAGGATAATACTGTAGCCATCATGGGAATTCCTATTCCAAAAGGAATATGGCAAAACTGGAAGCATCTGCAGTGCCACCCAGGATGCTGTTGGCGTTGTAAACAAGATTCTTGTGAAAGAATTAATACGCATATTGAGCATATTAAACATGCTAAAATCTGAGGTAGCTTCCTGAAACCTATCCAGGAAAATGATCAGAAAAAGAAGAAAGCCAGCTATTCCCCTTCTTGATATCTCCCTGGAAGAATTAAAAGCACCACACCACAGTGATATGTGCACACCCATGTTTATAGTGCCACAGTTTGTAATAGCTAAATCTTGGAAACAGCCCAAATGCCCATCAACCGATGAATGTGTAAAGATGTCTTTTTATACAATGGAGTACTACTGTGCCATAAAGAATAAGTTTGAAACTTTCTAGGTAAATGGATTCCCCTTGAGACCATACTCTTAGGTGAAATAAATTGGACATACATGTAAATGTCACAATTTCTCTGGTGTGAAAAACCAAAAGGGTAAATAAGGGTAAATGTATAATAGATACTCTGAAATAGGAATGGTGTTCAAATGGGAAGAGGGAAGAAAAAAGGAAAAGAAGGAAAAAGTGGAAACAGCTTTTGTAAATGAGGGGAATGGGGGAAAAAATCAAAATTATGTACAGGTACAGATTCCCTATGATGAATGTAAAATGTACCAATAAAATTAAATTTTTTTTGTTTTTTATAAAATTAATTTTTTTAAAAAAGAAGCCAGCCAGGGATTTGGCTCAGTGGTTCCACAGCCTGCCTTGCAAGCGCAAGGGCCCGAGTTCAATCCCCACTACCACAAAAACCAAAACATTAAAAAAAAAAAAAAAGGAAGCCAAAGAGAAAGGTTCCTGGTTTCAACTGAAGCCCAACCTGCTCAACCCAGAGAAGCACATTTATGAGAATCAGTGGGAAGGAGCCTGAGCTGCTGGGCTTACTCTGTAAATTCATGGCATAAGCTGGGGAGGTAGCTCTGCTGTTCAGCACCTAATAAATGGTTAAGGTATTTTAAGCCTGGGCTCAATACCCACTACTTAAAAATGAGGAAAGGTGGCCCTGCCTAGCGGAGCAGCAGTGCACCAGGTACAGCTCCTCGCCCGCCAGGCTTGCACACCCACATCCCTGTGAGCTCCGACAGAGGCACCTCTCCCAGGACCACTGTGTAATTCTGAATCGTGTCTGATAATGGTGAACTGCAAGACAAGCCCCCTGCACCTCCTGTGCAAATGAGCAGTACCATTTTTAGCACTGGAGACAGAGAAGGAAAAAAGCCCAGGAATGCAATCATCTCCATACTCAGGCACAGAGAAAGGAGTTGGGGAGGGGGGTGTTTCTCCTCTGTGTGATTTGAACGCACCATCCATAGTGGGTTTGATGCTGTTAAGGGAGAATGTACTGGTATGCCATAACAGAAGGCTCAATTTTTACAGACCTCAATATCACAAAACTTGAACAACAGGAAAATCCACAGGCTATGCTGGACGTCCTAAATAACACAGTGATGCAGAAATATCAGACTATTGCTCCTGAACACCAAAGAGTCAGCTACATCAGTGATGGTAGCTAGTGATAATGATGAGGATGAAGAGCCACTCCTGTCACAGCCCCATAACCAGATCATACAAAATCTGTATACACCAGTTGGTGCTCATGTTGATAGTGGTGCCAAGTCTTCAGACAAACAAAAATAACTGCCGGGTGTGGTGGCATATGTCTATAATACCAGAACCTGGGAGGCTGAGGCAGGAGGATTCCCACATCAAGGCCAGCCTGGGCTACATAGTGAGTTCAAGGTTAGCCTCAACTACAGAGCGAGACCCTGTCTCAACCAAAAAGAAAAAAGCAATAAAAAATAAGACCAAAATGACAGATAAAATGATTATGGAGAAATTAAGAACTATTGGGAGCATAGGTCACCCTAAGGAAAAAATATACAAGATATGAACAAAATTGGACAAGGGGCTTCTTGTACAGTTTTCACTGCTACTGATGTGGCTCTGGGACAGGAAGTTGCTACCAGATTAATTTACAGAAACAGCCAAAGAAGGAGTTGACCACTAATGAGATTCTGGAGATGAAGAATCCCAACATAGCTACCTTCTGGGATAGTTGCCTGGTGACAGATGAGTTGTTTGTAGTTACAGAGTACTGATGTCATAGAAACCTGCATGCATGAAGCACAGGTCACTGCTGGATGCAGAGAGTGTTTGCAGGCCTTGGAATTGTTACATGCTAAGCAAGTGAACCAGAGACATCACAAATGACTTTGGAGAATGGAAGGATCCACTAAATTTACTGATTTTGGTTTTTGTGTCCTGATTACCCCTGACCTGTTACTGGATGGCACCCGAGGTGGTTACATGGAAAGAACACAGTCTCTGGGTGTCATGACTATTGAGATGGTCAGAAGAGCCTTTGTACCTCAACAAAATCCCTTTGAGAGCCCTATACCTGACAGCAACTAATGGAACCCCAGAACTTCGGAATCCAGAAAATTTTCTCTGATATTTTGGGATTTCTTAAATCAATGTTTGAAAATGGATGTGGAGAAAGAGAGGCTCAGCCAAAGAACTGTTACAGCATCCTTCATCCCCTCCTGAAACTGGCCAAACAATTGAGCTTGGCACCAATGATCGTGGCAGCCTGGG